TATATATTCTTGCTTAAAAGAAGGTTGTAGAAGAAAAGATTCTTGTTCTTGAAAAGAATAGTGCATGGATCACAACTACTCCGCTACCTTAAAAAAGAACTATAGGGTGCAAATGGGTATTCAGTGTTAAATATAAAACATACGAGATTATAAAAAGGTTCATGACTAGATTTGTAGAATAGTTCACTTAGTCCCATAAGATCGACTATCCAGAGACATTTACGCCAGTGGCTAAATACAACACAGCAAGAGTATTACTACCATTGGTTGTCAACTAGGTCTGACTCTTACATTAACAATATATTAAAACTACTTTTGTTAATGAAGAATTAGAGAAAAAAAGTATAAATGGATATAACTCCAGGATTAAGGAACAACACAAACAGTTAGCTATTGTGCAAATAAAAGAAATTATTGTATGGGTTGAAATAATTTTCAGAATATGGTTTGAAAGGTTCACCAAGACTATTCTTGTCAAGGGATACTATCAGTGTCAAGTTGATCACACATTAGTTATGAAATCAAATAAAAAAGGTTTAATAGCCTTTCTTATTGTATATGCAGACGATATTATTCTTACAGTCAATGACAAACGAAATTGAAACAATTAAAAAAAATAAGAGCGGCTGAGTTTGAGATCAATGATCTTAGAACTTTAATATACTTTCTTGGAATAAAAGCCATTAGATCCAAAGAAAGCATTGTTATATCCCGGAAAAATATATTCTTTTTATTGAAGGAGATAGGAATGTTGGGTAATTGAAACAATTAAAAAAAATAAGAGCGGCTGAGTTTGAGATCAATGATCTTAGAACTTTAATATACTTCCTTGGAATAAGAGCCATTAGATCCAAAGAAAGCATTGTTATATCCCAGAAAATATATTCTTTTTATTGAAGGAGATAGGAATGTTGGGTGTAAAACAACAGAAACTTCTTTGGATCCCAATGGAAGAGCATCAAAAGGAGAGGATAACACCCCGGTTAAAAAAGATAGGCATCAAGGACTTATGAGGAAATTTATTTGTTTGTCACATACCAGACATGACATTATTTTTTTTTTTTGTGGGTGTACTGAGCCAACATATGAACGATCCAAATGAAGAGCATCTAGAAGTGGTCTTTCGACATTTGAGGTACTTAAAGATGATTCTAGGATGTGGATTGATATTCATGAAGACTGAGAATCATAACATTGAGATCTTGACTGATACTGGCTAGACAGGAGAATTGACTAACAGAAAATCTACCACGAGTTACTGTTTATTTGTATGGGGTAACTTGGTTACTTGGAGAAGTTAAAAGCAAGTTGTGGCAAAAAATAGTGCAAAATATGAGTATTGTGCCTTGATTCTAGGAATTTATGAAGGGATCTGGCTAAAGAAATTACTAGTGGAACTACACATAGAGAACAAAAATACTATTAAGATGTTCAATGATAAGTCAATCAACCACCTATATGTCAAAGAATTCAGTACACCATGATCGAACCAAACATATAGAGATTGACAGTCACTTCATCTTTGAGAAGGTCAATGGAGAGATTGTTCTGCTAAGTTATATCCCAACTCAGTATCAGATTGCTGACATTCTTAATAAAGTTCTTTCTTGGCATCACTTTTGTGATCTCAGCAGCAAATTTGGGATGTATGACATATACAACCCAACTTGAGGGGGAGTGCTGATATGCATGCATTGTGTATCATATGGGCCCACTCACGATTTAGGAAACTGTGGGTCAGCTGCGACATTTGAGGGAGAGAAATTATTTTTCCGTAATTATTCATTAATGTGTTTTATTTCTTTCCTTCTTATCATGATGGTTTGGATTTACCTCTAATTGTATTAGGTTTAGTCAGAGTTGTATATAAACTTGTTATTTTATTGCATTAGATGAATGAAAAAAATTAGAGTTTTTCCCTCTAAGAAAGTTCCTCCTAAACTCCACAGCATTAAATATGGAATTATGAATTTATTTTTAACCTTGATGAAGAATAGAAGAAACCTCAAATACTCTAGGTAATACAAATCTAAATCAATATGTGAATATTTGATCTAATCAACGTTCCATGGATTCTGTTAGTGGAGTTCTTGAGTAAGCATGCTGAAGCCATTCTCTTGTACTTTAATGTTTTTTAATATGCTGTACTATCTTTCATTGGAGAACTGTTCTCGCTTGTTTTGTGATTCTTGACTGTATGCAGTCAACAAAGCTTTTGTCCCTTTTTTTCTGTTGGGGAATATGGATAAATACTTTCTTTTTTTTTTTAATTCTTGCATTATGCTTAATAAAATGATCTTTTTGGCCGATTTTCTATGTACTGACTTATTTTTAACAAAATCTCTAAATATTTCAGTGGGCGTCATGCTTTGAAATCAAAACTCACAGAGGTTGGCTTATATTTGTTTGTTTGGATTTGACTCTTCAGTTATAGATTCTTATGCTTAGATTTTCGTAATACGACATGTGTGTTCTTTTTCGATGTTCTCAGTTGGGCTATGATGTATCGGGAAAGGAACTTGATGATGTCTTCAAGCGCTTTAAAGAGATTGCTGAGAAAAAAAAGGTGAGGAGAAATTGAATATCAGCATTATAATGCTTAAAGAACATTTAATTCTTGGTAAGGTCATTCTTGAGGATTTGAAAGCAAAAATAATTATAAAAAATGCATATTTATGAAATTAAGAAGGTTCATGAATGTAGGAAAATAAGCGGTACGGACAAACATTTCCGTGTACTTTTATTTGGGTTTGTTTCATGATTGTTCATCATAATCGTCATCATTAGAAGTTAGGATTTCAAGTTTCATATTTTTTCATCATTAGAAGTTAGGATTTCAAGTTTCATATTTTTCAAACTGATTTTTCCATGTAGCATTCACGAGAGCCTATAAACTCAATTGGATAAACTTGTCAGTGAGATGCATTATTTATTAATTTTGTTGTGTAGGAGTACTCAAATCAAGTGCAATTCTCTAAACATTTATAATGTGGCATCGCGAGCAATCTCAATGGCTTTTGTTTAAAATTAATAGACGTCTAAATTTCTTTAATGACTAGAAATGTTGTGACCACATTGGGTTGAATTAGCTCTTAGCTTTTAGATTGACATCAATAATTTTGATATTATTGTTGAAGGTAATAAGATACAAACTAATTGCTCGAGGAGAATCTTTTCTTGACAAATAAATGGAAAAAACCTCTATCCCTTGATTGCAAACTACATCAAACTAATGTAAGGAAGGTCTTTGGATGGCTTACTTTTTGTTGTCCATTTCAGTAGACGTTTCTAGGATTTTCCTTTTTCTTCGTTGTGATGTTAAAGTGGTACATATGATGGTTGGATATAAACTGGAGGTAGAATCATTGATAGGACATGTGCCTTGAGAAATGCCAATGTTTTATGGTACCATTACTCCAGGTTCAGTTTGAACTTATATTTAACTCTTTATTAATGCAGAAGCATGGCATTGTTTTTTTTTTCTCGTCACTCTATTATTTAATCTGGAGTATTCCTCTTTTTTTTGTGCTATAATATGTTTAGGTCTGTAATGTTATTGATAATGAAGTAGATGTGCTACTCATGTTATTTGCTATCATGTTTCTTTTTTTTTAAAAAAAAAAGATGCTTGGAAGAATTTTGAAGGGACTCTAGTGTTGGTTCTTGGAGTTTTAAGTAAACTCTGTTGGGAAAGAAAGCAGTCCAACAATCTTGTCACACTAGGCCTTTGGAACAGCATTTGATATGCTGAATTATGACCTGCAGAAGTAAGCAAAGACTTGTCACACTTACGTCTTTGGAACAACATTTGATATGTTAAATTTTGACATGTCTTAGATGTGCTATCACTGCTTGTCCATTGGCTTAGAATTTTCAAAACCGGGAAAAAACGATCAGATGGTGAAATCAAATTAATTGAATTTTTTATCACTGACAATTAATGTTCCAAATTATGGAAAGATCCTTTCACAATTAATAATTAAATCATTTTATCGATAAAACATACATGAATGTTTAATTATCTTTTGCTCACTTAGTTGTTTTTTTTTAAGTATTTCCTCTTCTATCACTCCTTCTATAGCTCAAGGTTTGGATCTAAAAGTGTTAGTTTAATTTTTTTGAGTTTTTAACGGCTCAAGAAAGAGTCATGCAATTTATTATTCAAATACGATCATTCAAAAAAGTTTGTAACATTCAATTATACGGCATTATATTTTTTTTTTCATTTTTATATCATTTTTATATTACATAAATTACAGGAGCACTATCTAAATTGTGCTAATTAAAGTACATCAATATTAATTAATTTTTCGATTTACATGCACATGTACCTTAGCTTCACCAATTAATTTTTTAAAGAGGTGACCTATATCAATTAACATACACGTGCAAGGATAAATTTAATGTGTATCATTCACATTTTCATTTATTCAGTGGATAATATACATCTCTTATAAATAATGCATAAAAATTAATCATGATGTAAAACTTGTAACATTCATATTGATAGGACATTATAAAATAACAGATGAATCAAAATAAAGTTGTGCTATTTAAACAAATATAAATTACTATCCATCTTGTTGGTTTAGAAGAGTAAAAAATGCTACTATAGTTTAGAAAATTTCTCAGCTCAATCTTTTAATATGAAAATACTATTTATTGATCCCGACGCCGTGCTTGATCCTATATACTAGTTATTCCTATTCGTCGCTAATTGAAGAATTGAAACACTTATGACATATAATTATTTTATCTTTCTATTTATTTAACTTAGCTAGTTATTGTTCTTTCAAACCTTTAAAAAAAAACTTGCTTTAATTCTTCATTTTATCTCTACTAATTGAAGAATGAAACACTTATGAAATATAATTATTTTATCTTTCTATTTATTTAACTTTGCTAGTTATTGTTCTTTCAAACCTTAAAAAAAAAACTTGCTTTAATTCTTCATTTTATCTCTACTATTTTTATCCTTATTACTTGTGAGGAATTAAAATTATAAATCAGCTCTATTAATTTGATTGATGACAATTTGATAATGATCTTTTCTTCATGAAACGTTTTGCAATCTCTTACTAAATTTGTATTCATAATTTTTTAATATTTTAAGGGGCATTTACGTACAAGCCACCCAATTCCTATGTATTTACATATCTATCTTATAAACTCTATTTTTTACATTTATACAACTCAAATATCTATTTTACATAAAAATACTACTTTAACTTTGAAAAGGTGAAATACATATTTTCATATATAGTTAAATAATTTCTATGACAATTATGATCTAGAGCTTCTTCTAACAAAAATCTCTTTAAATAATTCTTCAAAATTGCCACCGTGCTTCATCTTTTCTCCCATTCTTGCTTTTTCTCACCATACCAATCAGGCATGATACAACACTAGGATGGTCCTTCTTGTTCTACACGCATGCTTTGGCACTTCACCTTAGCCTGTGCTCTTGTCTGCTTGATCCCACATGCTGATTTCCAAACACGCAAGATTGCAGACGTCGCTTTTGGTGCTATCAGCCAACTTCACATGCACTCAATTCACCATTAACCACCCTGGTTGTGGTTCAATTTTTGCCATTGCCTCGCTGAAATACTTTTCTGCTTGCAATGTGCATTTGCGGCTTTTAGTTTCATATAATGCTTGTAGCTCATCGCCTCTTGCTTGATCTCACCTTCCTCTTCTGCTCGTGGTGCCTTTCTCTTCCGTGGTTCAAAGCGCCACAGGCTTCATAGCCCTCTCCTCTTAATAACGAGGAACCGAGTTGATCCATCTCTTCCTCGCTTTATCTCCTGTCTCATCTTCTCCCCTTCATCTCCTTGTTGTTCAATAGACATGAGATTACCAGGCATGTCTAAGTGAGTACTTGCTCTGTGGTGTCAAACAGACCCCATTTTGATTGAGGTGTTTTAATACTTAAAATGTTGACGCTCATTATTTTTTAAGGAAATGCAATTTGAAAAGAGCATCGATTATTAATCTCTGTTGGAAAGAAGTTTCTTAAATGTACAGGCAAAAATTAAGTTCTAGATTAATAAATCTTGTAAATGAAGAACAATTAATCCATGAAAAAGAGAGAAGATTCTAATACTTATTACTAGGAAGGTCCAGCGGCAATTATGAATTGTCATTAGCTTGGGAGATATTACAATATGTAATATAGACACTTCAGTGATGACTTCTTTTCTTAACGTTTCAAGTAAAAGATACATGTGCGAATTGCTTTTCCAACATTTGATTTTTTCATACCAAAATCTATTTTTCTATTTTGTTACTGATGGTAATCTGTTCTTGATGTTAAATCTTGGATTAATGGTTTAAAAGTTTTGTACTGATCAATTGATTGAATGCCTTTTGTTTATTTTATTTTATTTTAACTTACCTTGCGTCTTCAAAGGAATCCACTAGTTCTGAGTTTTTTCTTTTATTGAATTCCTTTAGCTTTTCGTTATTGTAGATTTCCAAAACGTAACAAATTAAAGTCCAATTAGTTTCTTCTCGTTCAATAAACTATTTGATTGAAGAATAATTTTGTGAACATGAAATTCATTAGTATATTGTTAATAAGCAGTGCTTTTTTTTTTCAGCGTGTATCTGATGATGATATCGAAGCGCTGATTTCAAATGAAATCTTCCAACCTAAAGTCATTTGGTCGCTTAGTGATCTTCAGGTAGTCTCTAGATGAGCTAATATATTTGTTCATTCTTTTTTCATGTACAATCCCCCCTTCTGCAAACAGGTTACATCTGGAACACTAGGCCTTTCTACCGCAACTGTTAAGCTTATTGATTCGGAAGGGGTAGAGAGGATTGCTTGCTCAGTTGGAACTGGCCCTGTACATGCTGCTTACGAAGCAATTAATAGTATTGTCCAGGTGATGCTTAGAGCTGCAAGCTTTTTGCATTTTTTGTCCCTAATTTCCGGTCATGTATATCAATTTTTTATGCTTGAAACATGTAAGAAATAAAGTTTTATAGAAGTTTGATCTGAATTTTACCTATTTACTCTGAAAATTTGCCTTCCACTCTCTTAAGAGAGTTTTGTGTGGCTTCAAGTCAATTGTAGAAAAGAAATTAAATATTTTAGAAAAAATATATCTAAGATTTCTCCTTCATTTTCTTAAGACTATATGATCTAATTTTAGGTTTTTTATTTTCATATGACCCTTTGAATAATTATCTTTTTAATACTAAGAAAAAACTTGAAATTAAAATTAGTTGGTAGATGCTAAGTGCTTAGCGTACATTAGCAATAATTTTGTTTTGGGATAGAAATGGTGGGGGTAATTATGACGAGCCCATTTAAGGTTCCAATAATTTTATTCTGAGGCTATCTTGGACCATGGTTTGCCTACTCAAAAATGGTTGTCATCGCAACCTGAAGAAAAATGTGGAATGAAATTCAGGCTTCTCTTTCATTGAGCACACTAACTAATATATATATATATATATATAGAACTGGGGCTTCTCTCTGGCTGAGCTAGCTTGGAACAACTGAACAGGTTCAGCTTGGAAGAAAGGGTCCCAATCGGCCCTAGTGAACTAGGCTTACCGCCCATTAGGAGTGGGGTTGCCCCTTCTTAATTACCTAGTATTATTTATGTGTTATTTTATGTTTTAGATTAGTTTTTATAGTGTTTTTGCCAGGACAGCAGTCGATGTCACCTGTTTTCCCTCTTAGGACTGTATCCGAGGTTGAGTGGTGCTCCGACTCTATCTTACTCTGAAGTGGTGATTTTCCTCTACTTTCTTCTCCCACAACCTCCTTGCTACCACCCTCAGCCCTCCTACCCATAGCCGTCTAGTAACCCGCTGGGTGGTTCTCCCTTCAGCTGCAATTCTCCCATTTGTCACCCACTGTTGTGTTGTTCGTGCCTTCATCCTACCCTACTACCTATTGAATGTCTTGTGGTAGTTGCCGTCGTCGCCAACCATCCTCCAGCCTTCATCCCTTCCCTGCTACTATCTAACTGGCAAGCATCCTCCAGCCTCAATCCATTACCCTATCCCCTACCTGTTGTCTTGCCCTTATCTATCCATCACTACCCCTACTTCCCCTCAAACCATAGCAATACCTCCCTCAACTTAAGCCCTAATTCGAGTGTGTTGTGTCTTGTTATTTCCTAATTCAAAGTGTCTTTGATGGTAACCCCTATTTGCTTTTGAGTAATAAATGTGTTTTCACTATTGTGGTTTGGGTTAACTCATATATCATTTGGTATCAGAGATAGTCTGATTTTTTTACCCCCCCAAACACACACACAAGTTCTTTTTGTTTCCCATTTCAATACCCTCTTCCACTCCCTCCAATCCAAACCATAACCATGATTCCAAGGTGAGACATGTCAGAGTTAGCTCTGATATCATATATGCATTGTAGAATCAATATATACAAAAATCGGGAAAAAGGAAATAATAAACTTAAATATTATATTCCTAAATTTGATTCCCTTATCAAGGGATTTATTATATTCTTGAATCTGTATTTCAACACTCCCCCTTAAGTTGGTGAATATATATTTTATCCTTTTCTAGCTTGGATAAAAATTTTGAGAAGTCGTAAATATTATGTCCCTTTGTAAACAAAGGGATTTATTATATTCCTAAATCTGTATTTCAACACTCCCCCTGAAGTTGGTGAATATATATTTTATCCTTTTATAGCTTGGATAAAAAATTTGAGAAGTCGTAAATATTATGTCCCTTTGTAAACACATCCGCAAGTTGTTCATTTATAGACACGTAGGGAGTACAAATCAATTTATTGTCTAACTTCTCCTTTATAAAGTGTTTATCAATCTTGATATGCTTTTTCCTATCGTGTTGCATTAGATTATTAACAATATTGATGCAAACTTGTCACATTATAGTCTCATTGGTTTCTCTCATTTTATATTGAGTTCTTCAAGGATTATCTTCAACCATAGTAGCTCACACACACTGTTGCGGGAGCGCCTCGCGCACTGTCGTGGGCGTGAACGACATTGCATCTCGAATGCGAGAAGTCCTGTGCAAGCAGCGACTGACTGCTTTGACTGGATTGAACCTCTCGAGGTTTTTTCCCTTCTGAGGGGTTGACCAGTCCTCGTGGGCCACTCTTAATTATAATTTTATTATACATTTATTTTTGTATTAGTCTTAGGTTAGTTTTTCATGTGCTTTGTTTAGGACAACCATTGACGTCTGTTTTTCTCCCTTCAAATATTGTATCCACGGATTAAGTGGTGCTCTGGCCGTACCTCTCTCTCTCGAGGCGTTGAATGTCTTCCTGGTCTGTTTCACCATCTTACCACAATGCTCTTGACCGCCCTCAACCGCTGCAGCCGCCCCTGAGCAACACTCATTTGTTGTTTTTCTTTGCAGTTTCTCAATTCCAGCCCTTCTTGCTCACTGGACAGCCACCTCTTATTGTCCTCTACTCCACAACCCTTCTGTTACACTGTCTCAAGCCTTTGCTTCACTGCCAAAGAAATTCTAGCCACTTCTTTCGCTGTCCCAAGCATCTACAACTCATTTCAACTATCTATCTCTGCTCACCAACCACCTAGTTGACCTTTGCTTCACTGCCAAAGAAATTCTAGCCACTCCTTTCGCTGTCCTAAGCATCCACAACTCATTTCAGCTATCTATCTCTGCTCACCAACCACCTAGTTGACCTCCACCACTCATGTTTCAAGCCCTAGTGCGAGTTTGTGTCATGTTTCTTGTAATTTCCCTTTCAATCGTGTTTGCTTCTAACTGACGATTTGCTTTCAGTTATTTGTGGTTTGAGTTAACTTTGGTAACATACATCCTAAGTCGTAGCCTTGAACTCTGCTTTTCACTTGATTGAGCTATCATATTTTATTTCTTACTCTACGTGGTTAGATTACCACCTAAAAACGTGCAATAACCTGTTGTGTAATGTCTACCAACCAGAGATTCTGCATAGTATGCGTCAATGAATGCTTCAAAAATCAACCTCTCACTTCTCTTGAATAAAATTTTTGGCTTTATGTAGAATTGTGCATGAAGTAACATACTACATTTACAACATAGGCAAGGTGGAGTTGAGCGTATGCCAAATATTTTAACTTCCCAACTAATTTCTGGAATAGAAACCCTTTTTTATCAACTGCCTTATCATTATTCCTTTGTTGAAGTTTGTAATTGGGATCAATCGGAATTGAAGTGGGCTTTCACGCTAATTTAGTAGTTCCCTTCAAGAGGTTAACCACATACTTTTATTGGGAAATAAAGTTGTCTAGTCGAGATCGAGTTGCTACTATCTCATGAAAGTATTTCAAGCTTCCCAAGTATTTGATTTCAAACTCTTTTCCCAAGCAGTTTTTTATGATTTCATTTTCTTTGTCATCGTTCTTAGTAATATTTATTCATCAACATCACCAGAAGAGCACTAACTCCCCCTAAACTCATGTGTTGATGAATGGCTTATGATCACCTTGACTTTGCTTATATCCGGTATTAAGAATCACCTTTGTACCCTTGTCGAACTAAGCCCTTGAAGACTATTGAGTCCATATGTTTTTTTCAGCTTGCAAGCCTTGTTCCCTTTTATCTCTTCTCCAAAAGCATGGATGAATTTCCAATATATATGTCTCTTCGTCTAAATCACCATGAAGAAAGACATTTTTCACATCAAATCAATGTAAATCTCAATTGAAATTTGTAGCTAAGGATAAAATAACCTTTACTGTATTCATTTTAGCCGCTGATGCAAATGTCTCTTGATAACTTGTTCCATATGTTTGTGTGAAGCTTTTAACAACCAAACATTCTTCATATCATTATAGAGACCCGTCTGATTTGAGTTTTAAGGCAAATATCCATTTGCTTTTTTATTTTTTGGTAGCTCAACTATTTTCCATATTTTATTCTTCTCAACTTCATCTCTATTCTCATAGTTTCTCTCCACATTTCATTGGATAATGCCTCATACAAGGTGTTTGGAGTTGCGATGGAGTTTAAATTGGCTAAGAAATTTTTGTGATAAAGAGAATATCTGTGAAAAAACATTGATTTGGCCTATGGATATCTTGGATGTTCAGTGGATTCTTTTGTCCCTTTTCCTAAGGCAATGTAAGGCATAATCAAATGAAATAGGAGAGTAAATTGAATTTATTCATACCTCACTTTCACGATTAGAACTCGAGTTTTGGACTTGCATAAGATCAAGTTCCAGATTTCTCTTTCTCAAATACACTTGTGCATGCCTCCTAGTGTCAAGCTTGTCATTGGTAGGGACTATTTCAACTGTTTCAGCGTTTGATTCTTGTGGGAATAATTCGGACTATAGGATGGCTATTGTGAAAGTGATTTGGACTCCTTTGAAGAGTAAAGATTATAATGTGGGTAGGTCAAGAAAGAGTTAATCTTTTACCTTATCTTCCTCGGTAAAACTAGACTCCCCCTGCATCTAAGGTTGATTGATCTTTCTCATTTATAGAGATATAAAATTGTAGTGTAGGTGGGCGTACACTTACAACCTTTTTGTGTTGGAGAATACTCGACAAACACACACTTGATTGCTCTTGGTTCTATTTATCTTTGTTATGTTTAGACACATGAACAAAAGTAGGACAACCAAAAACTCGAGGAGTAAGATCATTTGTCGTTTGAATGTAAAGATAAAATATAGAGATGAGTTGCATAGGCGTTTGATTACTTAATATTTTGAAGGACAATCGATTTATAATGTGGGTTGTAGTGAGGAAAGCTTCCCTCTGTCTGGTTTTTTAACCATATTTTGGAAGAGTAAAGCACAAGTTGTGGCAAGTGACCATTTTTTCTTTGCAATCCCATTCTACTAAAGATATTTATGCAGGATGACTCGTGAACTATCCCTTGTCAAAAATATGATGAAATAAATTGATTA